AGATCGAGACATTTCAGGTTTGAACGGTTAACCTTATAATAAACCTTGAATCACCAACTTATGGTTTCTTGATTTTCGCAGGGAAAATTTACAACTCGAGATTTCGTAGAGAACACATCAAAAAATCTTTTGAAACATGCAAATCCTAAAGGTATAAAGAATGTAAATTTTTGATTTTCGTTTTAAAACCATATTTGATTTATACGACCGTTTGTAATAGCTTTCGATCCTAAACCTTTTATAAGAACCTTTGAAAGATCTATTGATGAGCTTCTCAAACTTAGAGAAACTGTAACCGAACAAAGCAAAGATTTGGAAGCGACTGTACAATTGACAGAAGCGGGTCATCGTAAAAAATTGCATGAGCTTAAAACTACTTTTGAGGTAGGATAACGGATTCTTAAGAGGTTTGTGGAAATTGAAACGTATAATTTCTATTTGTTGCAATTCAAATTATTTATTAATTTATACCATTTTATAGGATGTTGTACATTCCTTTGAAAATTTAGAAACCAGAATTAATGAAGTTGGTAATACCGCTATTAGAATAGGTAATTTGTTCAATTTAATTTAAAAATCTTGTTTCATATATGGACTAGAATTTTCTTGCTGACTAGGTTGGTCACTATAAATAGGGGAGCAATTAGAAACCATTGATAGACAAAGACTCCGAGCTTCTGAATCAAAAGAATTAATTGAATATTTCATGGAATTTAATAAAGGCGACATATCAAGATTGGAGAGCTTAAGAGCTCAGGGAACTGAAGGTCAATTTAAGGTACTTGATATAAAACATATTTGTAGCACTTTAATTTACATGTTCTTACCATTAAATTCAACTTATACAAATATTTATAATAGGCTTCTATTATCGCTAGAAGGTTGAATACTATTGCGAAAGAAGTGGATATTCCTGGTGCCGAAGATGTAAGTTCTTGTCATTCCACAATGTTCTTTCTTCCATCATGGTCCTTATGACTGCATCATGAAACAAATTAAAGGCAGGTGCACGTATCGAAAAATATTGTGAAGTTTTGGAGAAAGAGTTGCTTGATCAATTTGATAAGGCGTATAGACAGAAGGATGCCAAAACCATGCATGTATGTATTAATTTGTATCAATATATCAATATTTCAAATTAAACTTTTAATTAATTAATAATTAATTCAAACATGAATTGTTTTTAGAATTGCGCAAAAATTCTTCAAGAGTTTAATGGTTGTGAGTCATGTATCAGGTTATACGTTAATCAGCACCAATTTTTTATCACAAAAGTAAATCTTAGCCAATCAACCGAATTTCTAACAAGCTCAAGGTATTTCCGTTTCCATTTTTATTGATTATGTTGAAGAATGTCTTTGATCAATTAAAAAAAAAACTTTGTATATTTTGAAAGTTGGAGTGATCTGCCGAATCCTCAGGTACCGCCTCCACCCGTTGATCAAGGGCTTGTTAATCTTTACCAAGAGATTAGAACGACAGTTAAGCAAGAGGCTGAAGTTATAAATGTTGTCTTTCCTGATCCGGTTGGAGTCATGCAAGTTTTCTTGCAACGTATTTTTGCTCAATTGGTATGAAAAATTTCGTTTTTAATACTGTAATGTGACAAAAAAATTTGATCAATTATTGCACTTTTTTTATTTAAATAGATTCAGACATATCTTGAAAGTCTATTGTTGCATGCTGAAAATAATTCAACATTAGCTTATTTACGCTGTTTAGTTGCTGCACATATTGCGACCAAAGAACTCGTTGAAGACTTGAAAGGCTTGGATATGCGCCAGAAAGGTTTATCTAATACTAGTTATTTGGATGCAAATGAAGCATCACATAATAGTGGTACAATTGCAGAAATTTTAGAACAATGTATTAGAGATCTGTTCGTACCATATACTGAAGGTGACCGTTACATCGAAAAAGAAAAAAAATCATTAGGAGAATTATATTCATCCTTACTATTACAGTTTACAGCTTATTATGTGAGCCTTTAGGATTAATATTCTATAATTGAATCGATTTCAGGTCAATTTTAATTTTATAATATCTTCCTTATATCAGACACAGCAAAAACAGTTGCGTGCGGGCAGCTTACTTGGTCGTGCATTCAATCAGATAACATTATATTCTAATACCAATCTTATGGATGTTCCGACCACAGAAGATGATGGAAACTTGTCAGTTAATTCAGCCATGTTGATGCTTAAAATACATGCAGAAGCAATAAGGCGTGCCATGAAGCTTAGTCCATTTACCGAATTGTAAATAGCCAACGGTTTATGTTTTTACTTACCCTTTTTTTATAAGCTATTCCAATAATGGTTTTTATTGTTTAAAGACCAAAATTTGCCGGAGTATTGTTTCACGTTCTTTTAGATAACATCGGAAAGCAATATATTGAAACTGCCTTGGACACGTAATATTTTAAAATCCTATATTACACGATGGTTTGTAATTTTGAGTGCTAACGATCGTTGTTTTAAATAATTAGTTGTCTTGATCAAATCTCTGTTATGGATCCAAAATCAGAGTTTTTTTTTAAACCATTTTCTGTGATAAAGATCACTGGGGAAATTATACATATAGTTCAAAATCATTTTCAATCTGCAATTGTAAGCTATATACAATTAGTTCATTTTATTTATGTTTTTTTTTCCACATAGGTCTAACAAATAAATGCTTATTATCTCGTTATATAGCTTCCTTTGGCTTCGCCATCATTGACTATGCATCGTGACCTTACCTCTGATAAAAATAGATTTATGATTGGGGTAGAAAATAAAATCAATTTGACTGTACAAAAAATGATCGATGGTAAGTGGTAATGTATACGTATACGTACATTCATTTCTATTTGATTAACTCAATAAATTAATTAAATTTTGTTTAATAGCTATTATTGCTCGGTTGAATTATTTACTATCTCGTCAGAAAAAAGTCGATTTTCGGCCTAGGGATGAGGACGATGTGATTGCAAGTCTAGCAACTGCAGTATGCGTTTACTTTAAAGTATTTCCCTATCAGATTTCATTGGTTATTATTTTTTTTATTTATCAGTTACAATTTATAGCCTTGCAATAATTGTGTCGAATGTCTGAAAAAAGTTCATACAAACGTTAGCAAGTGCCTTGATGGCAAGAATATGGAACATTTCTTGACTGAAATAGGAAATTCATTTCACAGGTGATTTATTTTTTACGCAAAGCTTATTCTTTAATGATTCTTTAATGATTCTTTAATGATTCTTTAATGTTACTTTCGCGATTAATTATCTGTTTAAAATCTTTATGTTTACAACAGCATGTTATTGGAACATTTCAAAAAATTTAGTGTGAGTCCGGCTGGTGGTTTAGTTTTAACAAAGTAAGCACATTCTTTTACGCATCAGATGCATTTTCGTATTTTGATCTTTCTAACAACTTATTTTAACACAGGGACATTGCTAAATATCAAGAAACTATTACTATTTTTAAACTTTCCCAATTAGACGAGCGATTTGAAATGCTTCGTCAACTTGGCAATCTATTTATTGTCAAGCCTGAAATTCTGAAATCTGTGCTTAATGAAGGATACCTTGCTAACGTGGATATCAAATATATACTTCCTTATCTTCAAGCTCGTACAGATTTCAAATCGGCCGGGATTGATACGCTTCTTGGTGCGACCATTGAAATCGGCACTGGAGAACGTAACTTTAATGAAAAAGCTAAAGCCAGGCTTGCAGCCATGGGTCTCAATATTAGTCTTGGAAGTGACTATTATTTATGGAGTTAAATGTACGATATTTAATATATAGATTTGCATGAGATATTGGCTATTAATTTTTGGACTTATTTAATTGACATCACAATTATATATTAGATTGTTAATATAATAAAAATATGACCATCGCATCAAACTATTCATTTTTTGGATAACTTTGTTATAAATAATAATAGATGTAAGCCCAAGATAAGTGTGTTGCATGTGTTAGGTGCCAATAAATTACTAAGCATGTAACAAAAAGAACCGCAATACATAAAAAAAACATGAAGATTATATTACGAAACAGATTAAATGAGGGCAGTCAAATGAAAAATTGGATAAATAATTATCTGAACTAACACATTTATTTGTAATAGACGATTCGTTTTGGAATAAAGAGCAATTTCCATTATCATTAGTTATACCGACATTTTATATTAGATTTTGAAAAAAAAATGTCGATATAGAAAGATTTTACTATGATGTCGTTATATCCAGATGTCGGTATAACCAGAGTGACGCGTATAATCATCCTAAAATTTGTTTTTAGAATAACGATCATATTAAGGTTGACGAACTGTTATGGATATTACATATTCAGAATTATCAGTGCCTATTGCAGTATAATTCTATATATTAACTAATTACAGTTAGACCTCTCTATAGTCGCACCCTATATAATCACACCTCTATATAAGCATTTAATTTTACAAATTGCTATAAACATATAGACTTTCCAAACCTTTATTCCTTTCCGAAATACGTAATACAAATTCAATTGACAAAAATCGGCCAAAAATGGAAATACTGATAGAATACGTATTTATCTTAAGTTAGAGATTTCTATCAGTATGAAACTTAAAAAGACATTCCTAGAATAGACCCAGGATTTACATATTTATCGTAAAAACTAATTGTATGTAATTTAAGAAAATTATTTGTGCATGATGTCCAGTAAATTTGTAAACTTTTAGGTCTAATGCTAAGCTGAAACTGCAAGAAGAGATAATCATATAGAGCCCATTGTTGTTGATCAAACAAGCAAAAACGATCTACATTATGAGACAGAAACAGCAAAAAAAGATCTGGAAATAATTGTTCACTCCATACATTCTCTGCGAATGATTGTACACCGTGTGATAATATTTCAACAATCTTGAAGAATAATTTAGTCATTCTTAATAAATACGGAAAAAAATTGTTGCGCATTATTTTTCCGGATCTTCTTTGCGATCATTGTAGTATTAGGCATTATTATGTATTATTGAAATTTTCACATAAACACGATTACACAAAAATAGTGCATTAGATTTTAATATGAATGATGAAAGATTAGAATTTTGTTGTTTAAAATAGTTAACAATATGAAGGGATTATTTAACTGTGTTAATGTGATAATAAATGACAATAATACTATGAAAATATGAACCCGCATTTACTCTTATACCCTTTTATTAACCTTAACACCTAACTTAACTGAACAAATAAGTTCAAATTTCAGCATCATCAGATAATAATGCATTAAATAAATTACAAATTTTACATGCTACTATATTAGGTTCAACCAATCAGATTTCATAA